GGGGAGGCCCGGCCCGACACAGCGCCCTCTTCCACGCTGCGGTCTCCGACCACCGGCCGGGGGCTGGGGACCAGGGTTGGGGGGCTCCGGCCAGCAGGCGTATTGGGACAGACACCCTCTTGGGTCCTGCCCTCTCTAGAACAACCGCTCCTCTCGCTGACAGTCCTGTGCCTTGCCTCCGCTCAATTTCTCTTTGAAGCGGGCAGGGCAGGACTCAGAGGATCCAATGTACAGGTGATGAAACTGAGGTCGGGAGAGGAGACGCTGCTCGCTTGCTAGCATCTGCTGCGCGCCTGCTGGCTTGCTCCCTCCCAGTCTTCCCACGACCTGCCTTTTGCAGAAAATATTCGCTTATTACCCGCCCCATGCCCCCCTGCGCCGCCCCTCTAGTTTTTGATTTGGGAGTCCAGGAGAAGGCCCCAACGCGCCTCGGGCCAGTGTGGTCCCAGCCCACTGCTGGCGGCCACAAGTTTCCGAAAGCCACGAGTTGCCAGCCAGTGACTCGGATTCGCTGATCCCGGGGCCCGTGGGTGCCCTCCCGGGTCGGGGCGCGCCGCCAGCTGCGCCGCCCGGAAGGGGGTAACCGCTAGGTCTTTGATCTTCCTTGGTTTCCGCTCCCCGCTGCCGTTCGCCAGACCCAAGGGCTTGTTTGTTTTGTCTGGGGAGGTCTCTGCGGAGGGGAGGGCGACATCAAGGGGTTCCACTCCACCTTTGTGGTTCTCAGAAAGAATGCGTGCTCTGCTGGGGACTCCCTTGGGTCTGTTGTTAGACTCGTCCTGGTACCGGGCAGCCTGGGCGTGGGAAGAGAAAACCCTGCGCTAGGAGTGAGGAGACCAGCTTTGCCCCGTTGACCGAATTCTCTGTATGAGTCTCAGTTTTATGATCTGTAAAATGGAGGCTCAATTCTGCCCGCTTTGCTGGCTCCTTAGAGCGGCACTGTCCATAGAAAGATAATGTGAGCCACATACTAATTCTAAACTTTCTAGTAGCCACATTAAAAAAAAAAGGAAAAAGAAACAGATGCAATTAATTTAATAATGTATTTTATTTAACCCAATATATCAAAAATATTATAATTTCAACATATAATGAGATATTTTGCGTTCTTTGTTTTGCACTAAGTGTTTGAAATCTGCTGTGTATTTATGCTTGGAGCACATCTCAACCCCGACTAGCCACTTCAAGTGATCAGTAGCCATGTGTGGCTAGTGGCTGCTATATCGGACATAACGGCTCTGGAGCATCGATATGTCTCAGAAGGACATTGGGAACGGCAAGGCCCTCCAGTCATAAATCTCTTCAGCCAGCAGTGTCTTACTTCCATCCTCCAAACTTCCTTTTTACACACCCTTTTTGGTGGAAATGAAGGCTCATCTTACAAGCAGGTACATTAATACTGTTAGCAGGCTGGTTTCATTGAAGGAGGGCTGGGACCATAAAAAATATTAGTATTGTCTCTTTTATATTGCAATTCTTTATCCAATACCTTTATCCAGTACCCCAAGGCACATTTGGCAAGGTCTGAAGTCATCATTTGGCAAGAGGCGAGGGACACTGCTAAACATCCTACAATGCACAGGACAGCCCCCAAAACAAAGAATTACCCAGCCCCAAATGTCAATGGTGCCAGAGTGAGTGCCCGTGAGCTGTAGGAAAGGGGAAAACCAGAGCAGGATGATGGGGTGGGGAGTGGGAGGGAGGTGGGGTTCTGAGGCCTGAGGCAGAGGGGGAGCCTTCCTGTAGACCCTCCAAAGGAAAGGGAATTGGCTGGGGTTGCTGTGGTCTCTCATGCACGCACAGCCCCCACCGGTGCCCGGGAGCAGCTAAGTCAGACAGAACTCTGAGAGGTCTCCTCACAGAGCTCAGAAAGTTGGTTACTTCCTTAAACCGGTCATGGCTTTCTTCTTCCATGAGAAAAAAGCATCCCTTCTTCCCCTTGGGAATTTCTTTCTACAGTTCAAAAAGAGATAATAGCAAGAACTAAAACTCTGCCGTTACAGTTTGAGTCTTGGGAGAAAATCCCAAGCGTCCAGCCCAAACACAAAGGCCCCTCCACCTTCAGCCCGGCCCTCCCCAGGCCAGCAGGCGCCTGGGACTCCGCTTCCGCTGCCGCTGGTGACACCCTCACCCCCACCAACCTGGCCCTGGGGCGAGAAGCCAGAGAGGAGAAGCCTGTCCAGGGCTCTGAGGAGGGGTTCCCCAGGGGCCACCAGCCCCCCGTCCACCTGGGGTGGCTATTCGGCCTCCACCAGCTTCCCACCCCACAACCCACTGTCTTTTTATGTGTTTTAATAATTTATCTGGCCCATTTCTTGGGCTGTATACTTACAGTGACACATCTTTTTCTTTGAAAATTTCCCATCCTTTGGGGGAGGAGAATGGGAAAGGAAGGCAAGGAAGAGATAAGAGAGAGAGATTATAACAGAAACGGGTTTCATGGGGCTTGAGATTTGGCAAGGCTGGTTTAGGTGAAATCTGTCAGAAGTGGAGCTGGGAGGGTTTAAAAAAAAAAAAAAAGTACACATCACCCTGGTTGGCCGCCCCCACGCTTGTCCCTAAGTTAACCCATCTGATCTGGCCCCCTTCAAATACCACCTCCTAGAGGAAGCCCTCCTTGACCCTCCAACCTGAAGAACTCTGACTGCTCTGAATACCCAAGGTCCCCTCTCCTCTCTCTCCACTTGCCACTCCTTATTTTTTTAATGCTGGAGCTAAATTTCCCTCCCAGAGTCTGGGCTCCTTGAGGAGGGGCTCTGGTGTGACTTGTGTGTCTAGATGCAGTACCCAGCAGTGCCCATAGGAGGCACTCTCTATGGGATGAGAGGAACCCACCCAGCCCCACCTCAGCCCTGGCGTGTGTTGTGGTCAATAAACGGGTGGAAGGGCTCCAAGGATATGACCTGGGATATGCTAAAAAAAAAATTAATGTCTCAGTCCCCACTGGTTGCTCCAGGTCCCGTGTTCCCTGGTGAGTTTCAGCATCGCTAAGCCTCCTGGAAACCTGGTTTGGGTGAGAAAGGGAGAACTGTTCTGCAGAAGCAAGTCACAGGCATTTTGGAGACGGCAACTAGGAAAGGGAAGAAAAGGGCGTCAAGTGAAACAGAGAGTTTGAGAAGAGAGCGATAACTAAGGACCTCAGAAGGGGCAACCCTGTGAGGTGGGGGACCGCGAATTAATTTTCAGGGCAGTGACGTCTAATACGTCATTGGCAGTTGTCACCTGCTCAGCTCTGTGCCGGAATCGCCTCTGTCACTCCAAACCTCGGCAAAACCCTAACCACGTCTCTGGGTTAGTGGCACAGGACAGAAGGAAGGACTCAGAAAGATGGCCCCACACAGATCATCCGGAGGGCAGCAGGCCACCGTGGGCTCCAGGGTGGAGATGTGCATCAGGAGGGGAAGACGGGAGCGAGCAGCAGCCAGCAGGACCGCCAGTCTCCAGTATCAGTCCCTGCAGCTAAGGCGAGGGGAGGCTGGGCTTCCCCCAAAAAAGGGGCGAGGGCCCCAGCTGCTCTATTCAGGGATCAGAAGACAGAGGCCCAAAGACAGCTACATGAGCCTCAATGTTGGCTGAACTGAACTCAAGTTTTGTGCCACCAACTCTTCCCAGGTCTGGGGTGTTTAGTGAGTGCCGAGCACAGGCTTCCCAGGTGACACAGGAGGACGGAGAGAGCCAGCCCGCCTCATCTTGCTCCCGCTCTCCTCAGGTCCCTGCCTCTCTGCTCCTCTCCGGGCTCGTCTGAGGAGCCCTGCCGGGCACGGCACCCGTCTGTCCACTTCCAGCCTTGTTTACAAAAGGGAGACACAAACTCCGCCTTTCTAAGCCTTTATTTTTCAGTTACGTGCAGTCAACATAGGCCTAATCACCACACTCAGTCTGCCCACCCATAAAACGGAAAGAGGGGTCCAGCAGACCAGCGTTTCCCAAAGCGGGCTCCACCGAGCACCAGAGTTGGGAGATGCTGTTTTTATGTGAAAGCAAGGGCTCCATGGGAAACTCAGGGCAGCCCTGGCTTAGCCATAGGGAGACAAGTTCCTCTTCTGCAGGATTTGTCAGAAACTTCCATGAGCAGCCAAGCTTGTGATTCTCCAAGAGGAGGGCATGCTAAGAAGGATTTTTCAAACTCTCCAGACCAGGGAACCCTTTTTAGGGAGTTCAAGTGAAAACAAATGTTCATGGAACACACTTCGGAAAATGCAGGGCTAGAGGGCTTCTAAGGTTCCCTCCAGTCTGAGATCCCCAGGCCTAAATCCAGGGACCTGGCCTAGGAGGGTGGCAGGAAGGAATGCCCAGCGGGGACAGAGCCAGGGGGGAAGGCTCCCTGAAGGAGAACACCCACATGTCTATGGCGGGCATTTGACATAATTGTCCACCTCCAGGCCTCTGAGCAGGCGGACACCGACTGTGCATAAGACTCCATGTGAGCCTTCTTTAGGCCACAGCTCGGGGCA